ATAAAAAAAGAGAACGAGCTTTTAAATGCAGTGCCTCGTTTTTATGTGATCACGACCCTGAACCAATCCTTTTAGTGGTAGATGTGGGACATATTGTTAGCTTTTCCAACAGTTTAGATGGGCCTTTGTTTTTATTGTTGGTCACTAAGAATTCCAAGGAATAGAAAGATCTCATGGGCAAAATCAGTTTGCTTTTTTCTCTGTATATTTGTTAGTTTATAGCAGCTTCTGCTTTCCTCCTATTTTTAAAAGCTGAAATGCCTTTAATCGCACTCAGTGTGTTTATTCATAGAAGCCAGAGAAGAGGGTCCATTCCTTTCCCCCATAGCACTGTAATGGAAATTTGGTACTAGATGAAATTCTCAGTTTTGGCGCTCACATGGAACAGCCATCCATCTGCTGGCGAGACACACTGCCCGGGGCTTTTCAAGAAATCCCTTAATGGTCCTGAACACTAATAATATTTATATACATCGAGATGAGACAAAATTTACAGCGGGCTTCTGGAGCTGGTTCCGGGACTCTAATCCCGCACTTGCTCGCGTTCTCTTGCTTGCCTCCCAAATTCTTTCAGGTTGTGCTTCAGTGAGGGGAGCATGGTGGCCGTCTCTGGAGCAATACTTATTTACACAGTTCGTCCTCTAACAAACACATCATCTTTCCTTTTGACCTTCCCCTCTTCTCCCCATCACATTCCATTGCTACTCCCGCATCTAGCATGTGTTTATGCATAGTTTGCATCATTTAACACAAAGGAACCCCTTGATTTGTGATCCCTTTAAGAAGTTGCTCTGTATATAAAGAAAATTATTTTTCCTGGTTGGTTTTACTGAAGTTCCTTCAGAAATAGCTCCCACCACCGAAACAAACCCGACTTCCCCAGCCTGTGTATTGGTTGTGGCACGAACTGACTGACTGGATAATACAATTTCACTCACTCCTTTGGGAGGTTTTGGGGGACCACTGTTCAGATGTGTGGGAAATGCAGAATATGTCTACAAGTACTTTGTAAAGTTTTTTTTTCTTTCTTTCTTTCTCATCCTGGAAAAGCCCGACATTGATATTTAGGTATAATCATTTGCAAGCAAGTGCAGAGGGACATTTTTCTGTTCTTTTCAACATTCTTGAGTTATTACTACTGCATTAATAGCTACTTGATCTTAATGTCTATTACACATCATTTTATGTAATGTTTTCTTTAAATTGTCAGGGAAAGGGATTCTGCAAGTAGATGTTGGTCCCCCCAGTTAGTCTCTGATGATGACGGTAAGATTCTCAATCAGTGTTTCCTTCCTCTAATGACAAAGCATGGTGATGGTGATGTCTGAAGAGCAACCTCCAGGGACTTCAGTGCTCCGAGATGGGTGTATTCTTAATACTGCTGGCACACGCCTGATGAGCAGGAATGTGAGAGTTGTTTCTCTAGCCAGTTTTATTGAACCTCACAGATCTATTATACAATGTGAATTTTGTGGGAATAACATAAGCTGAAAGTGTGTTCTCTTCCAGCCTGGTCCCTCTCTCCTTTCAATCCTACCCTCTCTGATCATCATGCCGCTGGCACTGCTGCCAGGTAACCTTTCTGATACGAAAATCTGGCCATGTTGTTCCCTTGCCTAAAACTCTCCATGGTTTCATATTATCCACAGTTGGGCTAAACCGTTTTGGACAGGCCTTCGGTGCCTCCCTGAGCCGTGGTCCCTGGCCTTCTTCATTAACACCCAGCCCTTACACCCATAGTGACCCCGTTGCTTTTACAAGCATTTACATGTGATTGCGCCTGCCATGTTCTTTATTCCTCCCTTGCTCATCTTTCCACTTGCAACTCCACAAAACCTTCCCCAGCACCCAGAAGTCCAGGAAACACCAGGCAGCTCCACTCACGACTGTACTTGCTGTGTCGTCCATTCCTTGGGGACAGGATTGGCACTGGTCCTGCATGCATCTCTCTGGCACACAGGTGCAGCACACATTAAATGGTTGCTAAATGAATAAATGAAGAATAGATGGAATTATATTCTGTTGTTACCAGTTTAAAAACATGAAATTGGGATACCCAATTTCAGTGTATCTTTAGATCTTGGACCTTGACGTGACCTCTGTAATGGATATATTTGAAATTATTAACTGTCTTCAAGTGGGGACTTGATGATAGAGAGAGTGTGTGTGTGTGTTTACAGCAAATATACTAGGTTTGTAAATTCAAATTTGTGTTATCCTCTTCAAGAAAGTCACCTTGTCAGACAGCATATATATCCCAACATTTTAGGAACTCATAAAATGCATACTTTTATGGTGTGATCAGAGATGGGTAACTCCTTATTACTTGTGGGTTAGATTAGTTTTTGGAAATAGCCTGGAGTCATTGAGAGCCAATCCTTATCAACAAAATGGCATAAACTGACAGGAATGGGTTTCTTCTTTACTTTATAGATAGCTCTGAAGACATGTCTCAGTTGGGATTAGTTCAGTTGCATATATGAATAGCAGTCATTGAAACAAGATAAAAGTGTATTTTCTTGCATCTAAAGATGTCTAGAGTAAGCAGTCCAGGGTTAGCCTAGCGACCCCACTCTCGTGAGGTACTAAGTTCCTTTTATTGTGCTTCACCATTCTTGATGTTTCACCTTGTGGTCCAAGGTTGGTACTTGAGCTCCAAGCATTACTACTGCATTCCAGCCATCAAGGAGCAGGATGGCCATGCCCTCTCTGTTCTCAGGAGTCTTCCAGTCAAAAAGTTTGTTTATATCTCGCTGGCCAGAACTTAAGTCATAGGGTCACCTCTAGCTACAAGGAAGACTGGGAGATGTAGTCTGTAACTGGATGGCAATATTCCCAACTAAAAATTACTGAAAACGATAAGAAGAATAAATAATGGAAGGCAACCTGTTTTTTCTGTCAAAGGATGACTTCAAAAGAGAAAGTTGCAAAAGTATTTTAAACTTGACAGTATCACAGCAATTTTCTTCAGAGGTAACACTGTTTATTTGCGTGTCCAAGTTCTGATATCTGTTTTCAAGTTCACCTATAGGAACTCTTGGAGGCAACTAGTGGGTATATAAACTGGTACAAACTTTCTAGAGGACAGTTTAACCCAACAAGATGAATTCTGGAAATTGATCCGAACGAAATGTTAAGGGTGCTCATGAAGATTGCTTTGCCGATTGCAATAATAAAAAGTAAAGGAAATATCTTATAGTTGGGAACAGGTGTAACTTATGATACATTCTACAATGGGATGTAGTACTGCTGTTAAATGTTTGTGGAATTCACAACCTTTTGTGCCAAAAAAAAAAAAGCTTTCAGAATGGCTTGCCCTTTTTATAGATACTTGTATTTATATGTCCATGTACATACATAAGAAATGACCAGGGAAGGTCTGCATGAAGATATTAATAAAGGGGTCACTTGTGGGTACATGGACTTACTCGTTCTCTGTATTCTCTTTACTTGTTTGTGATCTCTGATTTTTTTCATCATGTATTTTTATTACAAGAAAAAACGAATTCTAGAATCTCCACTCAGTATTGCAGGTCAGAGTCAAAAACATACACATTTAAATAATTTTGTATTGTTTTCCAATTTGAGGATAAAGTAGGAAATGTATAATGCAAACCAGATTTCATATTTTGTTGATTTATACTTAATTTACAAGTAAGACTAACAGCCCACAGAGTGTGATCATGACAGAATTGTTATGGAAATAAATGCCAGCTCATCTATTTGGGATGTACACATGGATCTGTGGTTATTAGACACTGATTTAACTTTAGCACACAAAGAGGCTTAGAGGAAATGGCTTCTAATATCCTGTGGTTCTGTGGGCTCAGAGATACTACTCACCCACCTGTCAGAGGCATTGAAACCAGAGCAACTCCATCTTGAATAGGATCTAGGTAAAATGGGGCCGAATTCCAGACGGTTAAGGCATTCTAAGTCACAGGATGAGATTAAAGGTCAGCACAAAATACAGGTCATAAAGACCTTGCTGATCTAACAGTTGCAGTAAAGAAGCCGGCCCAAACTCACCAAAACCAAGATGGTGACGAGAGTGACCTGTGGTCGTCCTCACTGCTGCACTCCCACCAGCGCCATGAGTGTTTACAGATGCCATAGCAACATCAGGAAGTTACCCTATATGGTCTAAAAAGGGGAGGTATGAATAATCCACCCCTTGTTGAGCATATCATCAAGAAATAACCATAAAAATGGGCAACCGCTCTGTCCTGGTTCTTCTGTTCCTTTACTTTCCTAATCAACTTGCTTTCAGTTTATAGACTCACCCTGAATTATTCTTGAGTAAAATCCAAGAACCCTCTCTTGGGATCTGGGTCAGGACCCCTTTCCTGTAACAAACGCATGTTCTTGGACTTGAGAATGACCCTCAGACGTGGTGACTTCTTGGTCATCTTACAGGTTAGGATATCATGGCTTATTTGGGGTAACACCTTTGATATCATCTAAGCCAACAGAAATTTTCCTGAGGTCATTTTGAATGCTATCATCTTTACTATAGAGTGTAGTTTAATCATTTTCAAAATAAGCATTTCTACACACTAAGGCTTTAAAAGAGTTTTCAGTAAGGAACATATTTGAAATGCAAAGTGAGCATAGCACAATGCCTTTTAAATTACTAATGAACCATAGGGTTCCTGTAGGGCTTACACTGGCTCACCCATGCCTGAGGCAACCTTCAAAAGTGGGTATTATCTCCCTCATTTTACAGATGGGAAGAGAGAGGATCAGGATCACCGAAGCTAATGGTTTGTTCCAGACCAAACAAGGAGTTCCTAGGACAGGCTGAACTTTAAATATATCTACTCTCTGCAGGTCTAAGTGGCTGGGCAGAGGATTTCGTAGCGTGTTTTTGTATTGTCTCCTCAGTGAGCGATCTGGTGCTGGTGGTAGCAGTGAATGATGCAGAAGGATGCTGGCCAGGCCCAGAGAAGGCGGTGCCACCCCTGCCCCGTCTCACCTCCGTCTCTCCTCTGTCTCCACAGTGTGCCCGAGTGCCTGTGGGAAGAGGGCATGCACCGAGAACAACGAGTGCTGCCACCCCGAGTGCCTGGGCAGCTGCAGCGCGCCTGACAACGACACGGCCTGTGTAGCTTGCCGCCACTACTACTACGCCGGTGTCTGCGTGCCTGCCTGCCCGCCCAACACCTACAGGTTTGAGGGCTGGCGCTGTGTGGACCGTGACTTCTGCGCCAACATCCTCAGCGCCGAGAGCAGCGACTCCGAGGGTTTCGTGATCCACGACGGCGAGTGCATGCAAGAGTGCCCCTCAGGCTTCATCCGCAACGGCAGCCAGAGGTCAGTCGTGGCCACACCTGTGGTCACTACCCGCCCCCACTCCACCCGCCACCCTGGCACAGAAAAGTAGACTGTCAGTTGTTTCATCTGGGTGCAGCCCTCAGGAAGTTAACTGAGGTGGGTCAGTTTGAGAGGGCTGGCTTACCTTAAATGTTTGGTGAGATTCTGGGAACAATTGGCATGGCTTACTGGCCCCCCTCACCAGTTTGTTTTATTTTTTAAGTGCATACTGCCTGGCCATTTGAAATTAAGTACTTGCTTGCTAGTTTCAATACCCAGAGTTCATGGTCTCCCTGGGTACTTGCCAAGCTGGCATCTAAGACGGGACTATAGTTTTAGATTTTCCTAGTCTAGGTGTTGCTAGCCAGGTGAGGCTTTGGAAGTGCAAGAGAAAAGACAGGCCAAGCCCCCACCACCATCCTTGAGACCAGCAAGCAGACCTAAACATCTTAGTGCAAGAGCTAGCAGCAGCTCAGAGTAAGCAGTAGCTTAAAATAAGCAACATTTTCCCATCAACACTTCCTTCCTCTCATCCCCCTCTACCTTGACCCTCCCTCAGTGCTCATCATGTCCTTCATTTTCCTTCCTGAACTTTGAGACTTCACTTGGGAAGCAAAGAATTTCCTTATGGCCGGGCACGTGGCTCACGCCTGTAATCTCAACACTTTGGGAGGCTGAGGTGCATGGATCACCTGAGGTCAGAGTTTGAGACCAGCCTGGCCAACGTGGTGAAACCCTGTCTCTACTAAAAATACAGAAATTAGCCGGGTATGGTGGGACGTGCCTGTAGTCCCAGCTACTCGGGAGGCCGAGGCAGGAGAATTGCTTGAACCTGGGAGGCAGAAGTTGCAGTGAGCCAAGATCACACCACTTCATTGCATCCTGGGCGACAGAGCGAGACTCTGTCTCCAAAAAAAAAAAAAAAAAAAAAATGGAGTTTCTTATAACAAATGCCATCCCTTTTGTACATGTCAACTGGACTTCTACAAATTTGTCATTGGTTTATGCTTTTGAAAATAAGATGCTAACATTGTTTAGAAATGTGGTAACTATAACTTTGAAAGCAAAAGAAGATTGGGTTTATGCTTTTGAAAATAAGATGCTAACATTGTTTAGAAATGTGGGAACTACAATTTTGAAAGCAAAAGAAGATTGGAGATTTGGGGTTGCTGTTCCCTTTCCTGGAGCAGAGTAAAGAACTTTTAGGGGCTCACCCCTGTAATCCCAGCACTTTGGGAGGCCGAGGTAGGCAGATCCCTTGAGCCCATGGGTTCAAGATCAGCCTGGGCAACATGCAAACCCTGTCTGTACAAAAGATACAAAGATTAGCTGGGCGTGTTGGCACACACCTGTAGTCTCAGCTACTCGGGAGTTGGAAGTGGGAGGATCACCTGAGCCCTTGAGGTCAAGGCTGAAATAAGCCAAAATCACCTTACTGCATTCCAGCACAGGCAACAGAGACTCTGTCTCAAAAAAAAAAGGACTTTTAGGAAAGTGCTGTTTTAGTGGACAAAATGCCTTCTTCGTGATTAGCACCAGGGGGCCTGTCTTTCTGAGTCTGTCAAAATCTATTCTACAAATATAAAAATATCGGCCAGGTGTGGTGGCTCCCGCCTGTAATCCCAGCACTTTGGGAGGCCGAGGCAGGCGGATCACGAAGTGAGGTCAGGAGATAGAGACCATCCTGGCTAACAGGGTGAAACCCCATCTCTATTAAAAATACAAAAAATTAGCCAGGCCTGGTGGCGGGTGCCTGTAGTCCCAGCTACTCGGGAGGCTAAGACAGGAGAATGGCATGAACTCGGGAGGCAAAGCTTGCAGTGAGCCGAGATCGCGCCGCTGTACTCCAGCCTGGGCAACAAAGTGAGACTCTGTCTCAAAATAAATAAATAAATAAATATCATTTATCATTCGAAAAGTAGATGTTAATTTTAAATATAATTTTTGCTGCAGTTTATTTCTATAAAGTACATCGAGCAAGTGTTTATAAAGGGGTTCTTTTTCTAGTGTATTATTTGGAGATGCAGCTTCTACTGTAGGTTTACCTTCAAATCAAAGATAATACTCATTTTCTTTTATAGTATTAGATGTAGAGCAACTTTCTGCCTCTTATGATTTGTATAACCATTAGGATAGTAACAAGAAGAACAAAATTACTCTGAATACTTTAAAATGATAAATAGGCCAAGGACTTCAGTGAGCTGCAGAGGATACATATTATGTCCAGAATCAGTCTACCGCATTGTACTCACATTTTGTTGGCAGCCTTTGAGTGTAAAAGGGCCTTTACTGGTGCACACCTCGGGCCCAGGGGCAGTGCCTGGAACCAAGTTGAGGCTCAGCCACTATTCAGACATCACCTTGCTCCTTGGGGTGGGGTTAGGGGAACAGTAGCTTGTCCATGAACTCAGTATGCTATCATCTTTGTTTTGTGAATACATTTTCTGAATGACATTTGGAGGCCTTTGGTCATTCTGCAGCCACCAGAGTTGTGGCAAAGTGGGAATGCTGTCCGTTTGACAGTGTTGTTTCTTCCGCTCTAGCACACTCTTCAGAGAATTGAGCCATTATTTCCCCTATTCATTCTTACAGTCCATTCAAAACTATACATCTGCCTTTTTGTTTAAAAATAAAACACCATAAAGAATAATAAATTCCCTTCTCTCTGCCTTTGAGGCTTACTTAACAATTACTTTAAAATATTTATTTTTTTATCTTGTTTATACCTTCTCTATACCATAATGGATTTGAGGAAGCTTAATCTATAAACATGTTATCAAAACATTTCTTAGAAAAACATTTTTTAAGTGCCCAATGACTCCTAGACTTTTTACCAAAGACGATTGTTTCCTTTTTTTCTCCCCCTTTTCTTTTCTCTTTGATAGACTGGCTGTGTCGCCCAGGCTGGAGTGCAGTGGCACTATCATAGCTCACTGCAGCCTCAAATTCCTGGGCTCAAGTGATCCTGCTGCCTCAGCCTCCCAAAGTGCTGGGATTACAGATGTGAGCCACTGTACCCAGCTTCAGATTTTTCTATTTGAGTGAAAGATGGAGATAAACTAAACATACACTTACGTTACAACCCAGCAGTTGTAACCATGGATATTTATCCCAGAGAAATGAAATTTATGTCAACACAAAAACATGTACACCATCGTCCGTAGCAGCTTTATTTGTAATAACCCCAAACTGGAAATCACTCAGATGTCCTATGATAGGTAATTAGTTAAACAAACTGTGAGACATCCGCACCATGGAATATTATTACTCAGCAATAAAAAGGAACAAACCATTGAAGTACACTGCTTGGATGGATCTCAAGAACGTTATGCTCTGTGAAAAAGCCAACCTCAAAAGATCACGTACTGTATAATTCCATTTATACAACATCCTCAAAATGACAGATTATAGCCGGGCGAGGTGGCTCACGCCTGTGAGCCCAGCACTTTGGGAGGCTGAGGTGGGTGGATAACCTGAGGTCAGGAGTTCGAGACCAGCCTGGCCAACATAGTGAAACCCTGTCTCTACTAAAAATACAAAGTTTGACCGGACACAGTGGCTCATAACCTATCTCAGCACCTTGGGAGGCTGAGGTGGGCAGATTGCTTGAGGTCAGGAGGCCAACTTGGTGAAACGCCATCTCTACTAAAAATACAAAAATTAGCTGGGCGTGGTGACCCGTCTCTGTAATCCCAGCTACTCAGGAGGCTGAGGCAGAAGAATCACTTGAACCCAGAAGGGCTGAGGTTGCAGTGAACCAAGATTGCGCCACTGTACTCCACCCTGGGTGACAGAGTGAGATTCTTGTCTCAAAAAAAAAAAATATAGAAGCCAGGCATGGTGGTGCAAACCTGTAGTTTCAGCTACTCCAGAGGCTGAGGCAGGAGAATCACTTGAACCGCCAGGAGGTGGAGATTATCGTGAGCTGAGATCATGCTACTGCACTCTAGCCTGGGCAACAGAGTGAGACCCTGTCTCAAAAAAAAAAAGACAGATTATAGAGATGGAAAACAGATAAGTGGTTGCCAGGTGTTAGGGACATTGGGGACTAGGTTGAGCAGGGCAGTGAGTATGAACAGGTAGCATCAGGGAGAGCTCTGTGGTGAGGGAACAGTTCTGTATCTTGATTGTAGTGATTACACAAATCTACACAAGTGATCAGTGACAGAGCACCATGCGGGCACGTGCGTGCGCGCACACACACACACACACACACACAGTTAATTTCCAGGTTTGATACTGCATTATCATGATGTAAGATGTAGTGACCATTGGAGGAAATTGGATGAAGGCTATGTGGGATCTCTCTGTAACTTTGTAAATCTTTGCAACTTTTTGTGACTCTATAATTATTTTAAAATAAAATGTTTTTTTAAAGGGAGAGTGGGAGTTTATAGGGTATGTAGATAAATTAGAAACAACAGAAGACCAAGTAAAAAAGTGCTGAAGGTAAGCCCCCAACCCAGGCTAGAAATGAGAATGGTGAGTGCAATGGTAGAGGAAGGACTCCCCATCTGTGGGTGGGTCCAGTTCCTGCAGGAGCCTTCTGGAAGCCATGATCCCCATTCTCCCAAACACGCAATAGGAAAATACCAGAAAAGTTTTGTTTACCTATTAGCTTTTAAACAAAACAGAACCCTACATCTTTGTCTTAGATACAAAATAACCTTCATAGATAGGGGGAAGGGACATTAATAAAAAGAGCTGTAATTTACACTGTTTTTCTTGAATGTTTTTACTTCATGAAATTTGAGAGATGATTTAAGAACAATAATGTACATGTAATGGCTCCCCAACTTACCATCCTGTTAACACACACGTCGCAAAAGGTCGTATCATTTGTCTTGTTTGGAAATCAATTCAACTTTCTGACCATTGTTCTATATATAACTATAGATCCCAAAGGTTCAGCTGCTAGGTTAGCGTTTTGTCTGCTATTTCGTAAATAACAGCAGGTAAGCAGGGAAAGTGCCAGTCTTTCTTGTCCCTGACTCTTGGTGGTTTGTGCCATGTTCAGGATAGCATTTGAAATAAGAGCTCATTACAACGTAATGGAAACCCCTTGCTTTTATTGTGTATGCAGCGAAAACAACATTTGGATCAGTTTACAAGTTTCTGCAAAACACTGTCAAGAAATAATTTCAGTTGTGCTTTAGCAAGAAAATAATGGATCTGCGCTGTACCACATGCCTTTTGGCATCCGTCACTGGGCTTCCCTGAGACACTGACTGCAGGAGCTGGACTACTGTTAGGCAGAGACACTACAGTCCCTTTGCTGTCCCTGTCTTCTCTCCTAGCCACTCCTCCAGGTACACAGGCCAGGGTCACAATATCAGAAAGCAGCTCTGTGTTCCTCCAGAGAACCCCCAGAGCTTCCTTTCTGCAACACTATCTCTCCCACATGGAACCAGCTGGCTCATCAGTCAACAGGCTATGATACACAAATGCCTTGAGGATGCATCATGTATTTTGTCTGGAAGCAAGCAACACGCTCTTCCTTTGTAGGCTCTTTCTCCTTTTGGTTGCAATGTGAGTGGCTTATCTTGGGTGGGCTTGGGAATGATATACCATGTGACCACACGAACACTTTAAAACAGTTGCTTTTTCTAATGCATGCTGTAATAACAATAAAAAGCGTATCCTTATGACTTTTTTAATGCAAGAAGGCAGACTCAATTATCTGTGTTTTTGATTTTTTTTTTTCTTCAACAGCATGTACTGCATCCCTTGTGAAGGTCCTTGCCCCAAGGTCTGTGAGGAAGAAAAGAAAACAAAGACCATTGATTCTGTTACTTCTGCTCAGATGCTCCAAGGATGCACCATCTTCAAGGGCAATTTGCTCATTAACATCCGACGGGGGAGTAAGTATTTCATCCCACTGAAAAAATGGCTAGATCTCATGGTTTTCTTTTGTTGATGCTTTTCATGCTCCTGTCCCTGAGTCACCACTAAAATATGGGCTTAGATAAACAACATGGTGTGTAAGCCTCATGCATGACGTCTCTTCTTTGAGTTTCCCTGAAAGATAAAAAACAGATTGAAAGGCAATCTGTTTTTTAGCCATTGGCACATCATTTATTCCTGTAAAGAGGGTCATCGCTCATCTTTTTGTTAGTCACATCTTGCATAGGAGAGGCAAGCCCTGACACATACAAACCCCAGAAGAGACCATTGGATCAGAGGTGTGACTCAGCAGACTCCAGCTGTAGCCAAATCCACACATCTTTCAAGTCTAAAGAGTGATCGTTACTTGAATTTACTGAGAAGACTGAGCAGAGGGAAGTTTAGTGATATCACGTTAAACTTTTATGAAGTCCAAAAGAATGCTAGATTGCCAAATTTACTTGTGAGAGACAAAAGGATACAAGTATGTGTCATTGTGTACGTAAAGTTTCAGTCTCACCTCCGTACAATGACCGATATTTGCAGTAGATGGCATTCCTGGTAAGTTGCTTCTGAGTTGGATTTGTGCAAAGGATTTCCCACTGACTTAGCCTGCGATCTCTTCACTTCTTTGTTTTTTTGTGTGTTTGTTTCTTTGTTTTGTTTTGAGACAGAGTCTCACTGTGTCACCCAGGCTGGAGTGCAATGGCACAATCATAGCTCACTGTAACCTGGAACTCCTGGTCTCAAACAATCCTTCTACTCAGCCTCCCACGTTGCTGGGACTACAGGCACACCCTACCATGCCTGGATAATTTAAAAAATCTTTTCACTTGTGATTTTTTCATTGCCAAGGGCTTCTAGTAATGGTGCCTTAAATTCTCTGCTACTGGGACCACTTGTTCAAGGTACTGATAGTTTTATAAGCTAGAATAAATACTGTAAAAAGACTTTCAAGTTGAAAGGAATTTTTTGGGGAAATCCTTTTATGAAGAATTTTTTTTTTACAGTTTGAGAGGAAAAATAATGTATTTTGAGAATTTGCTTTTCCTTAATATTTGTTAAATGAATAAACTGTTTTCTTAAGGTTTAGAAAGGACAGAAACAAGTTTTTGCTTATTTCTTCTGACTTTGTTGATATCCCTTGCTGTTGTTCACAATATACCCACTCTCAGTCCTCCATGATGAAGGTAACTCTGTTCCCCACAACTAGGGCTTCCCTGCTCTCATGGTACTTCTGAAGTTTAATTCTTTTGGCTGTGTCTGCATTTTCTCATTTACTTTTAATTTGCTTATCCCTAGAACATACCTTTTGAGTGCCTAAACTTTTTTATCTTCCTCTGAAGATAAAATTTCAATCTGTGAATTAAATCCATGGAGAAGTATCATTTTACGAAGGAATTGGTGCATATTTATACATGATGATGAAGTGTGTCTTCCGGTTTATGTCCATTGCAGGAAATAGATTGGATTTAGGATGATGGGACATCTCATTATAGGGGAAATTTCCTGATCTTGACTAAGGCATGCTTCCTGCCCCACATTTAAAATTCAGGATCTCTTCCTTAAAACATCAACTGCACACAAGCTCTCATCTTTTCAACTTAAATTTCCCTTTAATTTTTCTTGGAAAGCTGTTAAATTAGATGTAGGGCTTTATCCTTTAGTACCCTTATTTTATTTGTATCAACTCAAAGCAAAATAGAGCCTTTTATTAAATATGTCTTCATAAATTATACACAGTAAAATCCCATTAATTGAACCACACCCAGTTCATTATGGTCTTTATTAAAATTTTAGCGTTAGTTGAACTGAAAATTGGTTTTTATTTACTAGGGGAAAGGGTAGACTAAACAAGATGAAAGGAAACCTGTTGTTTGCATATTATGTTTGTATATCTGTATTAGCAACTATTTTTCCAACTATTTTCTAGTTCCAAAAGCAATACGTAAATATTATAGAAAACTTAGCAATGCAGAAATGAATTTTTAAAAATCCCTCATAGATAGCCGTTGTTAACATTTTGGTATATTTTCTTCTCGTCTTAGTAAAATGGAACCTTTAAATATAGATTCCTGTATCTTAGGAATTAGAAAGACAGCAAAGGCAGTTCTGAATGAGATGGAGAAAATGATGTTGATTTAGTCATGCCCTTGTACTGTGGAGGCCATACTGTCTGTTGACAGAGCATATTAAAAGACGTTCCCTATATTTGTCAGCCTTAGCTAATTGCCAGTCTGGTATTTATGATCAGCTTGAGAGCTGCAGTACCCCCAACCTCCTAGAAACTTGCCTTCCCCTGCCTGGGAGGCCTCATTCCAGGAGTGGTTGTTGAGAGTCAAGCCAGGGAAGCGTGCTTTTGTCCGGGAATGGCCAGTCCTGTGCTGGGAGCCTGAGCATCTCAGGGGGCACCTGCCATTGAATTGTTCTCACTTGTGTTTGTAAGAATCCAAGTATGTCACCCTTACACCAAGTGAGCACACAGTGACACGATCCCCTTTCAATGTAGATAACATTGCTTCAGAACTGGAGAACTTCATGGGGCTCATCGAGGTGGTGACGGGCTACGTGAAGATCCGCCATTCCCATGCCTTGGTCTCCTTGTCCTTCCTAAAAAACCTTCGCCTCATCTTAGGAGAGGAGCAGCTAGAAGGGTAAGTGCCCCAAATTTCATGAGCTGATGTTCTCCTATTACAAAATAAGCAGCATACTTGTAAAACTGTTGCTGAGGTAAGAGCCCTCCCTGCCTTGTTAAATAGAAGAAAGGAAGAAGCCGCAGTATTGCCTGTGCTGCTCGAGTAGGTGTTGGGTAGAGTCATGATTCTCCATTCTTGCTGTTTTGGAAAACAGATGTTTTCCCCCTTACTCGATTTTGCCTCGTCAGTCAAGGGTTGCATGTCTGACTGTGACCAGTGAGACGGCAGAATTGGAGCAGACTTGGTGTTCTTGGGGCTTTTCTGCCAAGACTGACAGCCAGTTGATCTGGAGTGCTCACCTCCCTGTGAAATCATTCGCACAACCCTCGTCTGCCTCAGGATGCTGTGCTCTACTATGCACAACTACTCCATCTCTTAAGATATTGGAAGTGAGAGCAGCAGAGGAGCATGGGCAGTTCATTTTGTTATAAAGAAATCCAGATTCACAAGATTGTTTTTATTGATTAGTTTACAGGATTTGCACTATTGATAGAATTTTTGCCTTGGCACAGGCGTGCTTTGTGATAGGGGTTTTAAAATAATCATGGGCTTTTCACTGGAGGATAAAAGCTGGTGCTTATTGCATGCACAATTGCTTTCCAGCCGTCAGCCTATGTGTACCTTTGCATGTGTACTTTTCTCTTTAAACCCTCCCTTTTAAGTACGACTGTTGCCTGGCTTTAAGCGAATGCTTCAAAATAAAAGGAGTTATCAATTAAGGAGTGAATTCCTTCTAAAGAGAATTTGGGAAAATAATTTAGGAAAAAAAGAGGCGAGAAGGTCATGGGAAAGGTTATCCTTGCTGATTATCTGCCCCAACTGGATAAAGTTACTGCATAAGGGTTTCTTTACAGCCTCCCTGTTTTTCTCAGACTAACTCTTGGTCAGTCTTAAATTCTTAAAATTCCATCATCTGATAGAGCTAACGAGAGCGGGCAGCTCTTCATTCCATCCTTGAAAAGCACAGTGTCCTCCCCACTGGGAACACCAATCCTTGAAAAACTTCTTTCTCATTGCAAATCGAAGGAGGCTGCCACTGCGCCCAGGCCCAGACTCCTCAGTCACTTACCTGGCAAGCTGAGGTCCTACCAATTTAAGGTGATGATCATTGTTCATTGTATTAAATTTTAAAATGAATTTTTTATCCGCCTTTTTTTTTTTTCTAAGTAGGTTTGTGTTTCTGGAATCCTGGATATCTGTGAGCTCTTTTTTCTTTAGCAGATTAGTAGCTGTCAGATTTTCCTGTTGCTTAACGATACACCTTTTTTTTTTTTCCTAGACTAAGCAAATGATAGACATAAAGGTGAATGCTGAGAGGAGAGTTTAATTTCTATTAGGAAATTAACCTTTTCATGGAGTGTTAACTAAGTATTGTGCACTTAAATGTAGCTAGAAATTAAAGCCTGATTTTTATTTGCAAGAATATTTATGATGTCTTTCTCATTATCTGAAACTTGCATAAAACCTGAAGTATCAGCAAAATCTTTTAAGGATACATGCTCAGGCGTTTGCGAGGCTTCCCAGGTAAGCCTGGGCCCCTGGCCTGCTCTTACCATTTTAGATGCAGGGGAGGGCAAGTGGGCCCTGGGTTTTCCCTGCTGCTGCTGCTCCCCAGTAGCCCTGAAGCAACAAGGATGCCGGCTCCAGCCTTTCATTCCTGTGTGCTGCTTCTAAGAGGCTCTCTTTTGAGCTAGGGCTCTTAAGAATCTTTCACCTCTCGATGGGAGCTCTTTTCTCTCACCCTGTCTTCCTGGCACATGACCACAAAGGTATAGCCCGTCCTCACGATGATGAGCTCCCCAAGAGCTCTGTTTGCTTCAAGTGTTGAGACCACTACCAACACCTCAGCTGTTCATTTCTCCTTAGACTCAGGGACAGAGTCAGGTCTGGCCCCTTCACTGGCTGCCCTCACTTCTTCTGCAAGAAGGGAAGAGTCAGAGCGAGAAAGAGAAGGACAGGATATGATAGACAGATAAACATCAGCAGTGCAAAGCAGAACTCGCACAGTGTTACAAGGGAAAGAGAGAAATGTGCCCTAGGCATGGAGAAGAGCCAGATACCTGAGAAGATCAGACAGGCTTTTGACAAGGTGGCATTTGAGATGGGCCTTGAAGGCGTTTGGGAAAAACTTGGGGAAAGCAGAGGATTGAAGTGAAGAAAGGCAATTCGAGGTAGGGTGGCAGGAGCAAAGGCAACAAGTTGGGGCATCCTGGGGCCTGTTGGGCAACTAACGCTGGAGAGGTGAGTAGTACTAGAGTTACGTAAGATGTTTTGCACCCAGGTATAAAGGGTTATAATTTAGGTAGACCATGGAACATATTCAAGGCTTTCGAATAGAAGAGTGTTAGCAGAGCTGAAATTTTTATTTCGGTATGCTTTTGGTTTAAGCCAAGATAACTTTTATCCCAGTGTTTCTCAAACTTTGCTACACATTATGGAATCACTGGGGGTGGGGGCGGGGGTGGGGTTGAGAAATCCTGATGTCCAAGTTGCACCCCCACCCCAATTCAATAGGAGTGTTTGGGATTAGGATCCAGGAATCAGTGCTTGTCTAAAGATCCCTAGGCACTTCAGCAGGGAGCAAAGATTGGAAACCACTGCTTTATCCCTTCATTTCTTCCCATGTGCGTATCACAAAGCACTTTGACGGTTTTTTTCCTAAGTATTTTCCCCTCACACTGCTGCCTAATGTTTTAGAGGTTCATCCATGTTGTTACACGTGTCACACTATTTTCTTAAACTTTTTCTTTTTTCTTTTTTTTTTTTTTTTTGAGGTGAAATCTTGCTCTGTTGCCTAGGCTGGAGTGTAGTGGCACTGTCTCGGCTCACTGCACCTCTGCTTCCTGGGTTCAAGCAATTCTCCTGCCTCAGCCTCCTGAGTAGCTGGAATTACTGGCATGCACCACCACGCCTGGCTTATTTTTGTACTTTTAGTAGAGACGGGCTTTCACCATGTTGGTCAGGCTGTTCTCGAACTCCTGACCTTGTGATCCACCCGCCTCAGCCTCCCAAAGTACTGGGATTACAGGCTTGAGCCACCACGCCCAGCCTTCTTGAACTTCTTTTACAGCCAATGATAACATAAATGTTTCCATTTGGTTCAATAGGATGAAAGTTTTGTAGCCTTTTGTTTTTGATGGAGAACAGAACAATTCGAGATACAAAGATCCTTCAACTCTGACAACCTTGACTTTCCAAAATGTCACTGAGATCCCTCTCAAAAAGTCTCCTGAGCCATCCAGAACAGAGAATTCAAGCATTTTACGTAGAGCAGAGCTCTTATTCCTCACTCAGAGCCTGTTGACTTCTATATCACACTCAGGGTGAGCTGATTTTGCAACCGAGTGACAAAAGCCATAGTCATGGTTTCCTCAAGGACATCACTAGGGTGTATTTCTAGAGTAATGACCTTAGACATTAAGAAAATCAAGGCCGCTCTGCTGTTTACAAAGGAAACAGGTTTTGTAATCCACATGTACACGATTTTTATAAAATAGTTAATTTTTAAGCTCTTAAATAAGAGAATATTTTCACTGTCTGGAAAATCCCCTTGTTTGGACAACCTTGTTTCCTGATGGCATCAGGTAACTAAGGAGTTAAAATTTCACGTTCTTTGGTGCTACCAAGGATTGTTGCCTTGAAAAGAAGAAGGAAAAAGTAGATGGAAGGTGGTGAGTTAAAAGAATTGACATTCGCAGATAGGCATTTCTATGCTTTTGTTCCTACCACTTGACTTTGCAACACACAGTGCTTTGTAATACCTTCTTGGAGCTCTAAGGCTGAAACATGGCCGCTCTTTAACATTTCCCTGGGACTTTTGGAAAATATACACTCAACCCTGTGACCCAGCAATTCCAGGATCCACCCAAGAGAAATGAAAACATGCCCACACAAGACTTGTGTATGAATTTTGGTAGCAGTATTACTCATAATAGCCTCCTGGGACTCCCCTGACCCCCAGGCTAAAGAAAAAGACCCACTGGAAACCAGTCAGATGTTCATCAACAGATGAATGGATAAAAAGATAAATGGATAAATAAAATGTGGCACAAAGGACAACTGACTACTCAACAATAAAAAGACGTGAAGTATGACGCGTGTTACGACATGGGTGAACCTCTAAAACATTAGGATAAGTGAAAAGAAAAAATCCAGACACAAAAGGCTACATATTGTATGACTCATTAGTATGTAATTTGCAGAAAAGGCAAAACTATAGAGACAGAAAGCAGACCAGGGATGGCTGCGGGGAAGAGGTGGAGATTGACCACCAATGGAAATGAGGGAACTCTCGGGTGATGGAAATGTTCTGAAACTGAGTAGTGGACAGTTGTGTAAATTTACTGAAGCTCATGGAATGATGGGTGAATTTTTTTTTTCTCTTTTTTTTTTGAAACGGAGTCTCACTGTGTTGCCCAGGTTGAAGTGCAGTGGCGCTATCTTGGCTCACTGCAAGCTCCACCTCCTGGGTTCACGCCATTCTCCTGCCTCAGCCTCCCAAGTAGCTGGGACTACAGGCGCCCACCACCATGCCCAGCTAATTTTTTGTATTTTTAGTGGAGATGGGGTTTCACCATGTTGGCTAGGATGGTCTCGATCTCCTGACTTCATGATCCGCCCGCCTAGGCCTCCCAAAGTGCTGGGATTACAGGCGTGAGCCACCGCTTCCGGCCTGATGGGTGAATATTTGATAGGTAGATTATACTTCAGAAGTAAAGCTATTTTTAAGAAACACCTAACAAAACAAAGAGGAAACATTTTCTGAGTATCTGTATGGAGCCTGGTTCCACCTAGATAGACATTCCCACCCTTGCTGAACCCCTAAGGTTGATGTAAATATTGGATTTGCGGGAGGGTGGACAGGATATAAACCAACCCGTTTGCAGATGAATTGGTGGGAGCATCTGCAGAAAGGCAAAAAAGGCCAACTACTCTATCAGTTGCAGATGGCTGTGTTGCCGATGACAGCCTGTGTCCTGGGTTCTGATGCCCTCTAGAGACAGCCGTGAAGAGGCAGTTTTCTCCTCTGAGAAAGGAACTGGAATGATTGGTTGTATAATTGCAGAATTGTTTTCAATATATCAGCAAGTACTGAAATGGGGAAACTGTCCTTCCTACCTCTGTAGGCTGGAGACCTCAGGTTCAGCTCCGTTTATCAGGGCACAGGACCTTCCTGTTCTGAGACTTTGTTCCAGGGGACTTTTACACTTCAGAGAGTAGCACAGGTCATCCTGCACTTTTGTGGGGTGATTAAAAGCTCACGGTATCCTCTTATGTTTAGCCCATCCAATTCTTCCAGCTGGCCTCGGCCAGAAAAGCAAGGAAGACACCCCCAGTTTGCAACTGAGAGACTCCAGCCTGGGAGAGCTGAATAAATCTTTTGCCCAGAGTTGTTCCTCAGTAAGTGCTGGAGATGAGGCTCAGACCTGACCTTTGGATTCCCAGATGGAGTGCTCTGAACCCTGTACCTGGGGCTATCTTCAAGCAGCACTCAAATATCGATAGAGATAACATAAAGATGTCCTCAGGAAGATAACCAACTGTTGCCACCCCATGTGGTCTACAGATTGGGAGACAGGGCCTACCCAAGTGTAGAAACAAACATTTTTTACAACATAGAGAAGGCTGAGAACCAGGATACCAGTATCAATAAAATCTGGATATCACAGAGCATATGGAAGCTAAAGAAAAGTAAATAACTGGTCAGGTGTGGTGGCTCACACCTGTAATCCCAGCACTTTGGAAGACCATGGCAAGGGATTGCTTGAGCCCAGGAGTTTGAGACCAGCCAGGGCAACATAGTGAGATACCAGCTCTTAAAAAAAAAAAAAAGAAAGAGAAATTAACCAAGCATGGTGGTACCAGCTACTTGAGAGGCTGAGGTAGGAGGGTAGCCTACGCCTGGGAGGTTGAGGCTGCAGTGATCTGTCATTGCGCCTCTGCACTCCAACCTGGATGACAGAGTGAGACCCTGTCTCGAGAAAAAAAAAAACTAATTTTTAAAAGCATTCTTTGAAGGTAAAGGCAGTAAGCTTAGAAACAATGGAAATCACATTTACTGAGTTATTTACTTAAGTAGTCTTTTCCTTAGGAAACAATGATAACTTTATGCATATTTTAAAGATGTGCAGACAGGTCTCTGCCTTTTACCCTCTCTTAATTCTCACCTAATCATGGAAGGAATTTAGCAGGGAGCCTTGCCCCAAGCTGCGGCTGGAATAACAAGCACAGTATTGACAGGCAGCTCATGAATGACTTGATTATTATTTTGACAAGGGTTTTATTTTTATTTTTCTTTAGCTTCCACAGGCTCCGTAATGCCTGGGTTTTATTGATATTGGTATCCTGGCTCCCAGCCTCTTCAATGATTGTAAAAAATGTTTGTGTTTACTGTAAAAAGATAATCTTGCTTTTCAAAGTGATTAATCAAATACACAGAATTTCAGTGTGCCTGCCATTCATTTGTCAAATTCCTGATTTATAATTTATGCTTCCTCCCATGGGGAGAAGAATGTTTTGTTCAGAAGGTATTTTTGGTGTGGTTCTGTTCCCTGCTAGTGAAATTAGTTTACTAAAAGAGGCCTCGTTCTGGGTGTAGATGGAAGTTTGGCCTGATTAATTGGTCCTTACCGGCATCCTAGAGGTTTCTTCACCAGCAGGGATATTTTGTCCTGTAACACTAACTCAGGTACCTGGAAGCAGCCCCACACTTGGGCATGCATCACTGCAGAGTCTCCTTTGGAGCTGGAGAAACTCCATGAGCAAGAATGGGCTTATGATAGGACACATCCATTTTCACGCCATCCCTCCTTCAGTTGTATGACTGCATGGAGCCTTTCTGACCTCCAGCAGTGTCACCTGAAACCTGGCTGTGAGAAAGAGCAGGTGTGGATGGGGCCTACCCCCAGCAGCAGTAGAGCCAACTGGGCCATATCCCAGCACTGCTCCCCGGGAAACACGCCTTGTGTTGCATTGACTAGATCTGAGATCATTTGGACAATGTCTTACGCGGCTTTTCCAGGATAGCTATGTGTTCAGGAGTGAGCCCTTACTGAAAGGGAAGAATTGTTGACTCACAAGTTTTTGCTACCAGTTTGGTAGCCACTAATGTGTCCAGAGGCCTAAAGATGGGCTTGTGAGGAGCCTGACTTAGCTTCAGAGGCACTGTCTTTCGACTCACTTGTGTGTTCACTGCACCCCTGTGCTGGCAGGACTCCCACCTCCACCCCAGCACTTGTGTGAACAGAGAGCCCAGTGCTCAGGGAAGGGTTGGGCTTCAGGCTTGTAGGATGGATTCCATGGCAGCTCTGTGACTCCTTCTGGGCATTCTTAAAGTAGACAGGGAGCTTAGATGTCACCTGTGCATTCCCTTTATTGTCCTACGAGTGAGTAAATAGGGCTACAAATAGCACTAAGGGACCTGCATGTGACTGTGCAGTCATTTCTGGTCCTGGGTCCCAGTCTCTGAACTCCCTCCTGGTCTGACCTCTGTTTGTGAATGTTCAGGAAAATGTCACAGGGCTGCTCGGCAGCATTGTAACCATAATGAGAATCAGGCTGAGGATTGACCAGCTGGTTAGAGGTCCTGGTTTGGGTGTAAATGAAGACCCTTACCAGATGCAGAGAGATCCCCAATGCACGTAGCCTCCAGGGCAGAGGAAGGCTTAGGGGTTCTGTTCTGACCTGGCTATGCTGGCTCTGTAGGGAGGGCTGGGGTCCTTTTTCGTTTGTATGTTTATACATTAGATCTGTGAGTGGATCTTAGAAATCACTCAAAGTACTGCACTGATTCCTAAACTTAGTAAGAAGCAGAGCAGGAAGAGGAGAGGAAGGATTCATGGTCCATGGGGATCAGGCCCATCAGCACAGAGAACTCAGACTGTCAGCCCTGGCATTATCTGCTGGCTTCCTGGGGAAGCCAGAGAGAAAGGCCCACTGCAGGGATCTTTCTCTAGACCCAAGACATAGCTGTCTGCTTTCTTGCCTCCCTGGGGATGGACTTGTCCTGCCACCTGGCTAGCCAGATAGAACGGCTTCCTGTGCTGGTTGGATCCGCTACTTGTGTGTACACCCTCTGGGGCAGAAGCCACTTCTGGTTTGGTGGGCTTTGGTCCTCCAGCACCTCACTGGAACTCAACCTCTCCTAGATTGCTGGTTCTCCACGTATGGTCCAGGGACCACAGCAGGGGTCAGTACCACCTGGCACTTGTGATAAATGCAGATTCTTTGCCCACCCCAGCTGAATCAGAAGCTCTGGGGGTGGGGCCCAGCCACTTTGCAAACAAGCTTTGTGCACACGAAACTTGGAGAACCACTGTATTGGATTCCAAGTCCTCTTGCCTGGATGAGAGGCCAAGGGCACTGCCTGTTGGTGGCTCTTCCTCCTCCCCCACACCTCCAGGGACTGGAACTGGGGCTTCTCAGAGTGAAAGATGAATCAGGGAAGGAGAAGGCCCAGGGTTGACCCCCCACAAGTTTGTCTCCCTGTCACATGCTGTCTCCTATCCCATCATGCTGCCGATTGGGCATGGGCAGGATTTACTTCCATGGATAATGGGAGACTTTAGAGCAAATGTGTAAGCTGTTCCGGTTGGGTAGCAGAGCATGTCTGTTCTCTCATGGATTGCTTTCAAGCACGTTGTGCATACTTGGCTGAGAAAAATAACCAAAGGCATTTCTTGGAATGATTCTAGTAACATCCTCTGATACAAGAAGCATTATTTGATGGTAATAGAGGTCATAAAATTAATTAGCATCTTATCGATTTTGATACATTGTCCTTGAATCATGTTGTTGCCATTGTTAACAGCAACTATCTGTTCTCCTATAGTGTTAATAACTAAATCTCTTATTGGCAAAGGAAATGTATTGTGGAGCAGGTGGCAAAGAGGACGTATGTTATGTGGCCAGCAGGCTAGAGAAGACTGTGGCCAAGGGCAGGTGCGCTAACATAACATAACATCGATTTCTATGCTTCTAGGAATTACTCCTTCTACGTCCTCGACAACCAGAACTTGCAGCAACTATGGGACTGGGACCACCGCAACCTGACCATCAAAGCAGGGAAAATGTACTTTGCTTTCAATCCCAAATTGTGTGTTTCGGAAATTTACCGCATGGAGGAAGTGACGGGGACTAAAGGGCGCCAAAGCAAAGGGGACATAAACACCAGGAACAACGGGGAGAGAGCCTCCTGTGAGTGACAGCACCCAAAACACCGTGGGCCAAACCATCATGATAACAGCAGACCCTCCTCCCATGTGTGATGGCAACTTTCCTCTGCGGCCCTTTCTTGTTTCACATGGGGGACCGCTAGACCATCTTCACTAGCGCTTTGCTGCTACTTATATGTCTTCAGAATCAGTAGTGGGCAGATACGTGATTTATTCATATTTACAAATTCTGTACATCTCTGTGAGTGTGTGAAACACTTATAAATAGGTTCTCTCTCAAACTTTAAAGTGCTGCTTACAGAATGCACAATTAAATGTCCTTTTATACACAGGTGCACAGTTAGTTTTTTTTTTTTTTTTTTTTTTTTTTTTTTTTTTTTTTTTTTTTTGAGATGGAGTCTCACTCTGTCACCCAAGCTGGAGTGCAGTGGCATGATCTTGGCTCATTGTAACCTCTGCCTCCTTGGTTCAAGCGATTCTCATGCCTCAGCCTCCCGGGTAGCTGAGATTATGACACCCGCCACCATGCCCAGCTAATTTTTGTATTTTTTTGTAGAGACGGGGTTTCATCATGTTGGCCAGGCTGGTCTCAAACTCCTGACCTCAAATGATCCACCTGCCTCAGCCTCCCACAGTGCTGGAACTACAGGTGTGAGCCACCATGCCCTGTCCGATTATTTTTCAGGGAAGAGCCAGGGTGCTCCAGCCCTGTGAGCTCTATCCTCCCGCTCCCACAGAAGGGAAGCACAGGCCTGTGAGGTGGAGGCGGCTCTGCCCTAAGAACAGCCGCTGTGGGCTGCAGGTTTCCTGTCCCTTACACTCGGCCGCCTTGTTTCTCCCACCCCAACGTGAAAAAGATGGAGTGAGCCTGCATCCCTGAGTTGATACCGCTTTTTAAATTTAGAACAATATAATTATAGCCTTGTACTGGTTATAAAACTTAAGGTCTCGTATCAGAGATACAGCAGCGCCTTTCTCATCTAACCATGTGTAGAATATGGCTGCTGAGAATGGTGTGGCTCTCTTTGGCTGGACAGGGTTATAAAAGTAAATCGTCTTTTCACCTTTGGCTTTTAATAAGGGAAGGGTATTAGAAAAAAAAGTAGTTTGTATGATTAAGGGTGATTTGTGCGTGTGTGCACACAGACGTACATGCGGGGAGGCAAATCAGAGCTGATACGTGTTTGGCTTTGGCTTGTTTTCCTGGTGTCTGGATTTACCTGGCAATACTCGTTGCTCTGGGGGATCATAGAGGGAAGCATGCTGACTGACCTAGGGCTGAACAGCAGGCTTAGGACCAGTGCCACCTCCCTCCCCCTGCCCACTCTGTCCCTGCAAAGCCCCTGCCTTGCTCACTGTTCAGACCGTAGTAAAATCGGATGTATCAGAGCATTTCAGAGTGCTTTTCTCCTTAGAGTCAGCCAGTCTGACCTGTCAGATCATAAATGTAGTAGCCATTTATTTTCTTTTGAAAAAAAAATCATGGTTTCCTCTCTAAGTAACACCTCAGCAGGAACTGTGACATTTTCCGATCTCAGTTGTGCACATTTTGCCCTAAAGACTTCTTAGCTCTTTTACTGTCTTCAGTCCCTCTGCTTCACCTCTTGAGTGTGTAGTGGGATTCAGGCAGATAAGGGGGCAAAAGGACAACTCATCAGAGAGCTCTGGGTCTCCATGAGGGTAGGCAGTCATCAGTCTTTCCCTGGTCCTTATCGTACTTTGAATTTGGTCCAAGGAATAAGAGAGGGACTTGGCACAGCTTCCCTGCCATACCTGCCAACCAGGCCTACTTCCCATAGAACACATTAGGCTTGGTCAAGTGAAATCTTCTTGTCATTGCTTAATCCAGCCCCCCGTTGTTTGTCAGCCCTCACTGGAGGCCTCACAGGAGTTCCTGTATCCTTCCAGTTTGATACCAAGTTTAGACCAAGAAAAGTTCCTTTCTGTGGCACACCTGTGGTCTCTTACCTGTGTTTGGTGGTTGTACAGGAACAGGCAGATATCCACAACTGCAGAACAAGTGTCATCGTCTCTCTAAGAAGATTCAGGGCAGCCTAAAGGCTCATCCTCACCCTACCAGGCCCCCTTTCATAGCCAGGATCTTAGGGATGGAGAAGAAAGATAAGTTCACCTTGTTCACTGAAGTTGCCCTTTGTTTTCAGGTTAGGAAACCCAGGTTCATGTCCAAGTCCCTGGGCAAGTAGCCAGTGCAACTGATTGACCTAAAACAAAGGATGGAACCCTTGGAGCTCTGCATAGTGAAATGTATGATTTCTTAGTGGAAAACGAGAAAACCACTTAGGAAGCCCAGCCAGGGAACTTAGCACATATAACCAGCTTTGGGGAAGGGGAAAGCAGTGCCGAGCAAGACAGGTGCTTTTCAGAGACACATGAATCTCTGTCACTCACGGATGTACTCTGTGCCCCAGGTGAAAGTGACGTCCTGCATTTCACCTCCACCACCACGTGGAAGAATCGCATCATCATAACCTGGCACCGGTACCGGCCCCCTGACTACAGGGATCTCATCAGCTTCACCGTTTACTACAAGGAAGCGTGAGTTTCTGCTTTGGGTGATGCCATTCTGTTGACAGGGCTACGAATGGGGAGAGGCCAGTCTTTTGATCCTTGAGTGGGTTGGCTCAATATGGGGAGTCAGCAGAGTCTTCAGGGAGAGCCACATCAAGCATCCCCACTTCATCCTCATGCACCCTCTCGGGCTGTCCCCTCGATGTCAGTCACAGCCAGTGACAGCCACGAATGGGAAAGTGTTAGCTTGAGGCCTGTCATTCTTTAGTGAGTGATTAGAGATGTTTGAATAAAATAAACCCAGAGTAGGCAAAGCTTGTTTTTTCCAGAATTAGGTCAGTCCAGACTCATAAAGGATGATGGGGTACTTCACTGAAATAATCGTTTCAGCCTCCTTACCCACTAGCCCTACCCTAGGAACACCCTGCAGGCACATGGCTCCCTTGTATCATCTTATTCCTGTCTCTTTCTGTGTATGCCTCTCCCAAGCTGTGGCCCTCTGCTCTAGGTCATGAGCCTTCCAAACAAGTGAAGGAAAGTGGAGAGAGAAAAACCTTCATGTCTTGAGCTTTTTGTGACTTCTCCTGGACTCTGTTGGGAGCTTTTCTTGTGCAATCACATGACATTCACCCATCTAAGCAGCCGACGGTTATTCCTCCCTACTGCAGCTCTCTTTGGTCTCCCTCTTCCTTCCTTTGCCTCCTGTATCCATGTGGCTACCCTGGTCTACTTAGCCATCCCCATTCCTCGGTCCCATCTTAATCTCATAGTTCTCTTTCCCAGATGAATGGCTTCCAAAGAGCAGGAACCAGAGGCACCTTATGACAGCATCTTGTACTCTTTCCTCCTGCCAGAGCTGGGGTCCTATGAATGAGAAATGGGGTACTTAGGATTACTAGGCTTTCAGGGTTCATACATAGGGGAGCCCCTCATGATCTCCCATCGTGACAGCAGACAGGGTTTTGTTAATGTTTGTTTCAGAAGCCAGTGACCAGCAGCTGTCCAGTCCTTTTATCTGATAAATGTAAAATATCTACCCAACTATGCATCTGTGCAAAGTACTATATTCTCTTTGATAGTCACACCAATGCTTTGGCAATGTCAGCTGGTAATTTCACTAAGGACTTGATGCTAGTTTCTAAGGCAATCTGGAAACTAAATATTTGAATATTATAAGATGCTTAAGCATCAGAATTTTTGATGAGCAATTTGAATTTTAGAAGCTACTTCTGTTTGTCTGTAGGAAAGTCATTTTTCTCCAACAGTTACCTTTTATCAATATCTGATATTTGCATTAACCGACTATGCTTGTTTTTTTCTTAATGATGGAAAAATGCTGCAATCAGAAGAGAGAAAAATAGCATTTACATCTGTTCTTAAGGAGCAGTAACTGTCGAATCCTGGTAACTGTTGAACTGGTTCTTCCTGAGGCAGAGCATTCAATTCTGTAGTGCACGACTGGGGAAGCCCAGAGTCCAGTCGCTTCATTTTCTTTCTTCTATAAAAGTCTAATTGATTAACAAAGAGAGTGTGACGTGCTGGGCCTCTGGGGAAGATTTTTGAGGATTTTGATGTCAGAGCCCCAAACTTTCTCTAAACTTGATTGATTGTCTTTCAGACCTTTTAAGAATGTCACAGAGTATGATGGGCAGGATGCCTGCGGCTCCAACAGCTGGAACATGGTGGACGTGGACCTCCCGCCCAACAAGGACGTGGAGCCCGGCATCTTACTGCATGGACTGAAGCCCTGGACTCAGTACGCCGTTTACGTCAAGGCTGTGACCCTCACCATGGTGGAGAACGACCATATCCGTGGGGCCAAGAGTGAGATCTTGTACATTCGCACCAATGCTTCAGGTATCCATGCCCAGACAAGCCCCCAGCATCCACGCTTCTTCACAAGCTCACTGGGCTTGCTTATACAAGGTGTCATTGTAGAGTTACCAGTGAGCTATGCCTGTTGTCTTTCTTATCAATACGTAATACTGTGTTATATTCTTTTTCCCACTGCTAACACATTAGGCTCTTCCGTGCCATTTTCTGGCCTCGGTACCATCTTCCATCGTCTCTCTCCTGCTCTGTGCCTTTGAGCCCAGGTCCTCCAGAATGCTGGGCTGGTTTCATTGGAAGGCCCAGCCTGGAAACAGCCATCTTCGGCTGCCCTTCTTTCTTGTTTATTTTGATGTTGAATCCTCCAGGAACTGAAACCATGCTGATCTGTGTTCCACTTAATTCATGTGGCTCACTGGTTTTCCATCTTCATTCTGGAGCCTGTAGAGTTCCAAAGAGTTCAACAAAAGTTGAAAGATTGCAGATGTAGTATGTTGTGGATATTCAAAGTATTCACTGATGATGATATTCCTCCTTCCTCTATCTTTAGGTTCTAAACCACCTCATTTCTCAACTCCAGATCTGGAAACAATAAAAGCAAACATAAATGTTTTCCAAGTATATAAAAGCTAGTTTAGAAGTAGGAAAATCCACTTCAGTTTTAAAGACACTGATTGTTTTAGTCCATTGGAGCTTCTGTCACAAAAAAACAGCGTAGCCTGGGTAGCTTATAAGCAACAGAAATGTATTTCTCACAGTTCCAGAAGCCACAAAGTGCAAGATCAAGGCGCTGGCAGACTTGGTGTCTAGTGAGGGCCCACTCCATGCTCATAGATGGCTGTCTTTTCGTTGCGTCCTTGCATGGTGGCAGGGATGCAGCAGCACTCTCCAGGGCCTCTCGTAGAAGGGCCTGAATTCCATTCATGAGGGCTTCACCCCCATGACCCAATCACCTCCCAAAGGCCACACCTCCTAATTCCATCACCCTAGGGGTTCAAATTTTGACATGTGAATTTTGGTGGGGAGCACAGACATTCAGCCTATAGCACTGATAAACTTTATTTGATAATAGCCATTATTTTAGTGGGTAAGATGTTTTTAAATACCCATAAGCAAGCACAAAATGAGTTTAAATGGCAAGAGAGGAGGATGAGAAGAAAATGCTGGTGGGGAAAACCTTTTGCTGTGTGCACCTGCTTCTTCCTCCCCTCCTACCCCATTTCCATGACCCTGTTAAGTGGCCACAGTCATGTCACTGGGTGAAGTGCTTATTAAAAAGAAATTGGCACAGGCTTCTGATCCTGGGTGTGGGTTGGTATAGCAGAGATTCAATGCAACAGAGCAAGTTTTTCATCTTAAAATTTGGAAGTAATCCCTGCCTAGCAATTCACTGTAGCATTTGGGAAACATAGGAATATCTGCTTATTGTGACAGATTCTCAAGAAATCTGCTTCCTTTCCACAAAGATGGAAACCAGGCACTGTACAAATGAGTCAGTTCACGACGTTTTGTCCTCTGTCCTTACACGCAGCAGAAACAGACAAGAACTTGGTCCTCTGCCTCTGCTTTTTTGTGACACCTATCGTAAGAATGTATCTAGGAATGAGCTGTTTGTTTTTGAAGTACTTATTTTTGGAAACCCTAAAGTGGCTGAGCATCAAGTGGTTATGTTTTCTTTGAAAACACTAGTATTAGTCATAACCTTTTTCCAAAGTATTATCCCTTAAAGATGTTCAGAACCTTGTGTGTATTGTATAACCTGGAGCACCCTCAAGCTGTCCACCCTTTTCGAGTTTGAAAAATGGCTGAGGCAAACATGTTGCTTAAGCGATATCCAGCAAAGGTGTCTCCTGCGCTTTGGAAAACCGTCAACATTGGTGCTTTTTTGTGACCCAATAAGGACGAGATTTCAGTGGTTCTGGGATGCATTTGATCTTTATGCACACTTCAGCTCTGGGTTTGGGTTCAGGGGTCAGCATAAGTAAAGCTTGATCAGATAACTATGCTTTGCCTATAATCAGCATTCATTCTGCTGGTAACAGAGTCCTTTGCTTGAAATGAGGCTTCCATGCATTTGCAGTTTTAGACTGCTTTTCAGAGTCATGCCTCACTCATTGTACTGAAGGATGCTTGTGGAAATGGCAGACTTCCGTGTTCTTTGCATTGCCTCTTCCCCATCCCTTTTACAGCTGTGACACGGGCATGCACACTCCTGCACACACACAGGCTCTCCAGCCCCCTTTCCACTACCCTCTTTGCATTTGACTTCATGACATTTTTATCAGAGATTCAGAATCTCAGATGAAATCCAAGTCAGCCTATTTTACCAGTTGTTGAAACTGCCGGAGTTCAGCACTGTGGAGAATGGCAGTTGTAATAAATGAGAAATACCAGGTGTTTGAATTAGCTGTAGATTTTCATATTGTCTCTTCTAACTCTGCTTGTGCCCCCGCAGCCTTTTTCCATTTACAATTCAGTAATGTTTGTTTTCACGAGATTATCTGAGGAAATAAATTATAAAGGGAAATGTTGGCATTTAAAGTAGTACTATTTCAAAATAAGGTTCACTTTTCACTTTGTATTTCATTGTTCATTGTTATTTTCTTATCCAGGTCAAACTTACAGTTTCCTGTTGGCTTGCACAGAGTATCTGATAGCCTGAATCTTAAGTTCATTTCATTTTCTGGAATATTCTTTGTTCCCCTTTGCAGTTCCTTCCATTCCCTTGGACGTTCTTTCAGCATCGAACTCCTCTTCTCAGTTAATCGTGAAGTGGAACCCTCCCTCTCTGCCCAACGGCAACCTGAGTTACTACATTGTGCGCTGGCAGCGGCAGCCTCAGGACGGCTACCTTTACCGGCACAATTACTGCTCCAAAGGTAAAGGTGTACCGGCGGCCTGGATGGAGGGTGTGACTGTTAATTCCTGTGGTTTGAATGTACCTGGGCCCTAATATTACACATATCAGATAACAGTGTAGTTCTCCATTACACACCAGCTATCTTTTTTTTTCTTTTTTTTTTTCTTTTTTTTTTTTTTTTTTTGGTGAGACAGAGTCTCAATCTGTTGCCCAGGCTGGAGTGCAGTGGTACAATCAGGGGTCACTGCAATTTCTGCTTCCCAGGTTCAAGCAATTCTCATTCCTCAGCCTTCCGAGTAGCTGGGGTTACAGGCATGCACCACCATGCCTGGCTACTTTTTATATTTTTAGTAGAGATGGGTTTCACCATGTTGCCCAGGCTGGTCTCAAACTTCTGACCTCAGGTGATTCCCCCGCCAAAGCCTCCCAAAGTGCTGGGATTATAGCCTTGTGCCACCGCATCTGGCCAAGACCAGCTGTCTTCTTGATTAAAGGTGCTGAGAGCTATTATTTTTCTTCACAAGCATGTATAGTGGCTTTCATTCCCACTCTTGTTTTGGCTTTTCTTTTCCGAGAAGACAAAATCCCCATCAGGAAGTATGCCGACGGCACCATTGACATTGAGGAGGTCACAGAGAACCCGAAGACTGAGGTGTGTGGTGGAGAGAAAGGGCCTTGCTGCGCCTGCCCCAAAACTGAAGCTGAGAAGCAGGCCGAGAAGGAGGAGGCTGAGTACCGCAAAGTCTTTGAGAATTTCCTGCACAACTCCATCTTTGTGCCCAGGTATCGAACTCTTGTGAAATTTCACTTGGCAAAACCCACTGCTCAGGTGGGTTCTGTTGCCTTTCTCCCCACCAGGTAATGTGTAAGTCAGCAGCGGGGAGGTACGATACAGTAGCCATTGAGATGGAGCCAAAAAAGATGACAGGTTCGGTGAAGTGAGTTCCTGTGGAAGCCAGTCAGCCCTGAAGGGAACAGGGACCAGGGCTTGGGTTGCTGGGGCCGCTGATGTGACAGGTGCTGCTGTCTCAGCCACAACACCCTACAGAGAGCAGGTGGGCACCCTATGGTAGAGGCAGGGAGGGGAAACTCAAAGAGTACTGAAATCCGCTGCCTGGTAAGAGGAAAGGCCAGGATTTGGGCCCATCTCTGCCCTTCCCAATTCTCTCTGCCACCTCTCTCAGCCTGACAGAGGAGGAGTGAAGCAAGAGGGAAAAACATCAGAGTCTGTTGGAAGGGGCCTGACTTCAAAACATAGCCAGGTGCCACAGGCATCCTTTACAAGTAGGTTTAGGAAGCAGTGTAGGGAGACAGCCTGCAGTGGCTGTTTATTCCGTGGTTACTCTGCCTTTCAAAGCAACAGAGCCCCTGCCCCAGGGTCTCTGCTCCTTTGCTGTGGTCTTGGTTTCTGGGTAGTGGGTACAAAAGCAGAAGAAAGTAAATGTTCATAGTAGCCAAATCCGGAAACAACCCAGTGTACATCAACAGGTGAGTGGCTCAACAAAGTGGGCTCGAACCATACAGTGGAATATTACTCAGCCATAAAAAGGGAGGGAATTTCGATCCATGTCACAACACAGATGAACCTCGAAGACACCGTGCCAAGTAAAACAAGGCCAGACACAAAAAGACAAATAGTGTATGATTTTATGTTGTGTGAAATATATGGAATGGACAAATGTTTGGTGACAGAAAGTAGATTTGAGTTTACCAGGGGATGGGGATAGAGTGTGGAGAGGAATGGGAATTATTCCATAATTGATAGATTTTCTATTTGGAGTAATGAAAATTTTTGGAAATAGATGATGATGATAGTTGTACCATTCTGTGAATGTAATTAATGCCAGTGAATTGTACCCTTAAAATGATTAAAATGGCAAATTTTTGTCTTACATATATTTATTTTGTTTTAAAATTTTATTTTAACACAATAAAAAATGTTAAACAATTTTTGTTTTCCTTTCAAAAAAGGATTAGCCCAGTAAAGGATTTCCAGTGTGGGAAAGGAGATGGAAGCACAGTGGTATTCCCTGGCCCTCTCTTCCTGTAAGATTATAGTGCAGATTTTGGAAACGACCTCATGCCTGAAAACTAGGCCAAGGAGTTGGATTTAAATCAGCATGGTACCCATGAGTTGCCCACCTGCAGTCCCCACGGTGCCCCTGCTGCCACTACCCCACCCAGCACGTTCCCTTCCCCTCACTGCCCCCAACCCTGAGAGGAGCCTGTAGTAGCTATTTATTCTGCAATGACTCTGCCCTTATAGACTTTCTTAGGCTGTAACAACAAATGGTTTTTAAAGTGATTTTTTTTTTCTGCCAAATGACCTTTTTGATATTTGCAAAATGGTTGAAATAGCTGTTTCACTTCGAGAAATCAGTAAAGTGAGAAATAAAGACCGATTAGAACTGGAGGCACTATTTCCTTGTGAGAGTGAGCCTCTTCATTGTTTGGTGGCTTTCTTCCCCTTCCCTCCTGTCTCGAAGTTAAAACCACCAGAGCAGCCGGACATGGTGGCTCACACCTGTAATCCCAGCACTTTGGGGGAGGCTGAGGTGGGCAGATCACGAGGTCAGGAGTTCAAGACCAGCCTGGCAACATGGTGAAACCCCATCTCTACTAAAGATACAAAAAATTAGCCAAGCGTGGTGGCATGCACCTGTAATCCCAGCTACTCGGGAAGCTGAGGCAGGAGAATCGCTTGAACCGAGAGGTGGAGGTTGCAGTAAGCTGAGATTGTGCCATTGCACTCCAGCGTGGGCAACACAGCAAGACTCCATCTCAAGGAAAAAAAAAAAACACCAGAGCTGTGAGAAGGGCCTGCGAACCCTTCATGGCCTCTCGCATCCTGCCCCGCTGGGGAAATCTTCTGCCTGCTGGTAGGTGACAGGGCTTTGAGTGTGAGCCTTGAGGTTCAGTGCCCAAGGCCATTTTCTTATCCAGGATATCTGTATATCACTGGTGGTTCCTAGAAAGCAGAAAGTTTGAGGACTAGAAAGATTGCAAAGAGGTGTGGAAACTGGAACTCAATGAGGTTTGGTGACTTCTCCGACATCCTAATTAATTAAGAATCGGTCTGGGACCTGGCCCTCATTCCCACACACCAACTCTCTTTCCCTCCTCTTCTCCTCCATTGCGTTGCTTCTCGTGGTGCTTTCCACCTAGACCAGCAGAGGCTCAGCTTGTGGCAGCTCCTGCCGCCCGCCACATGGAAGGATGGATTTAGAGTGTCCCAAGCAGGCTGGGTGGGAAGTTTGTTTATTCTCTATCAAAGGCCATTGGTTACGTTGCTGTCTTGTTCCACCAACCAGCAGGAGGTTCGGGTTGTGAATCAAGGTTTTGGAAAGATTTTGCTGAAAGGCCCCTTGCTTTCAGTTGTAGTTACAAGGCAGGACCTGTTTTTTCCTCATCAGATGTGGAGCACAAGATTATGTGATGTGTGAAGGCAGAGCCGCGATTGACACTGATGTTATTAATGCACAGCATTGGTGGTGGTGGGTTCAAAACAAGTTTCCTTTATTCCACTTGAGAAGTGTGTTTATCTGTTCCCCCAGTCCTTCCTTTCTCTCTCCTAAGACAAGTCCAACTTATGATTCTCCTTTCCATGGATGTATATAAAGACAATATTTTGTTCATGGTGAGAGGCCATACTTTATAAGAAGTTAATGTTTGTTTTTTGCCTCCTACTGAGTTCTGGCGGAGTTGGGTGAAGGAGTGTCCAGCTGACAGTATGATTGAATCATAAAGGCTGGCTTTCTGTCTTACAAGTGAAATGTCCGAAAACGGATTTGATTTCTTTCAATTCATTCTGAGAATAATTTATTTGTGGGATAAAACCAGTTAAGTAAGATTTAGTTCCTTATAAATTGTCCAGAATATCCTGTATGTTTTGAAGTAGAGTGGAAGCTAGAGTTTGTAAAACTAGTTTCTGAAGTCAGTGTTTGGCAGTAAATGCCTTTCTTTTGACTACTGTCTTTATTTTGTAAATCACATAGTTTGGTTTAACTAGCTAAAATGTTGACAGATGTTGGAAAGTAAAAGGTTTTCCAATAGGGCTAGGTTGTATCATGGGGTGGAGCGGGGAAAGTTGGCAGTAATGTTTGCTGTTGGGCACACGATTTGGAAATGTAGTTGTTTACCAAAAAATGATGTATGAGCCATTGTGCTTCCTCTGTTCCTGCCTTCCAGATAATGTTCTGTGTCACCTCCCTCCCCTTGTCACTGCCTTGATGTCATCAGCATTGAGAGCTGTGCAATCCCTAAAAGTGTGGTGTTGATAAACAAGTAAACTACTGAGTATACTTAATGATGTAATCCCGGTTAAACGTGGTGGCCGGGCTAGGAGAGGGGTTTTGACACAGAATTATTTTGTAGTGCATCAAACCTAAGCAACTTCTGACAGACACAAGTGTATATTGTGTTGGTTTTGAAGGAAGGGCTGGAAATTTGTTGATGTGTTGACAAAGATTTCCGTGGCAGTAAATGTGGTTTCTTGTGTTTTTCCCTTCCAGGAAGCTTGGTTAGCTGGTTGGTTGGCTTGCAGAGTGTGAGGATTGTGGATAATCAGCCTCATGTCCTTACCCTTCCTCCCCCAGTATTGTGAAAGCAAATGTACATGCCCTGACCTTGTGGTTTTCTGCTTGTTGGAATGAGCCTATCTGTGTTGGGCAGTTTATGCCTTTGGTGGGACCCCCATGTGCCACTACACAAAGAAGGACCATGTTTTCCTCAGGGGAATCCATGGGCTGAGAAGACTAGGGAGCCAGAGGCCCTTTCCCCAAGCCCCCTGCTCTCCCCTTCCCAGGTTCTGGCCTAAGGACCAGCCAGAAACCTGCCGAGCGTCGGCCGAACCTGGAAGTGGCTTCTGGGCTGCTCCGTTCCCTGTGTGAGCTTTCCCTGTCTGCTGCTGCTGCCGCTCTCTCCCCTCCATGGCACTGATGAGCTTCCCATGTTCTGGACTTTCTCATTTCCCTGGGCAGATGGAATTCATCCCATTTACTCCCTGCCTTTTGCCTATTCCTAAGACCAGTGACCCCAGCCAAAGGCCTCAGCCCTGTTTTCTCACCATTGGTCCGTGGCTGACCTGAGGGTTGCCCTTTCTCCATCTGGGTGCTCCTCTCGTATTCTGTTTGTTTTTGTTGGTTCCTGTAAACATTAGGATTCTGTTTTAAGGTTTCTAGGGGGAGCCACAAAGCCCATTTTTTCATATTTGACCAAAGCAGCAATTAGAGGGTCACACCCTCATGCCTCATCTGCCCTTTTCGGTGTGAATGTCCTCTTTGTGATGACTTTATGCACTCCCTTTTGCTTTTTGGTTGTTCCAGTCCCCATTCAAATCCATGACAAAGACTCTGCCCTCTCGTGGGCAGGACCTTGGTGAGGCCACAGATGCTCACTGCTGAGTTGGGAGGAGGCCTGGGTGGGCTTCAGGGACCTGCAGAGTGTAGCAAGCACAGATGCTTGGGGTTGGGGGTGGGCCTGCAGCAGAAGCACCCAAGAAGATACCTGAGGTCCGTGGAGCTGCTTGTTGCTAGGCTCCAGGCATCTTTATTTCCACAGTCAGAGCAGATCCAAGGAGCCACCACCATAGGCTTTCATATCCCTCTGCCCCAGGTCTTTGGGGCCTCTGCCACACACCTCACCTCTCCCCTCCTGCCCTAATAAATCTTAGTGCAGCTGGTAGGTTTGCCACCTTTAATGCTTAACCGTAAGGTCTGTGACCAGATGGCTTGAGTGTTCTGATGACACAGCCAGGACTGCCTGGCCAAGAATGGCAGAGACACTGTTTGCCTCTAGGTAAAATCGAAGAACCACTCTGAGAGCCAGGGGGTGGGGGTGAGAGTTTGTGTGCCTATTCTGACACTTGCATAGTAGAGAAAGCAAGATAATGAGGAAGGACATCCCCGTGTTATTCATGCATTCTTATCCAAGGGGGCTGAATAGCTCCTTCTATTCCATGGTTCAGATTCTTCTGTTACTCTTACTCAAGTCATAGAAAAGACGAAAGAGGTAAAAGCACTTAAAAGCCACATTTATCTCTTCCTTGCAGACCTGAAAGGAAGCGGAGAGATGTCATGCAAGTGGCCAACACCACCATGTCCAGCCGAAGCAGGAACACCACGGCAGCAGACACCTACAACATCACAGATCTGGAAGAGCTAGAGACAGAGTACCCTTTCTTTGAGAGCAGAGTGGATAATAAGGAGAGAACTGTCATTTCTAACCTTCGGCCTTTCACATTGTACCGCATTGATATCCACAGCTGCAACCACGAGGCTGAGAAACTGGGCTGCAGCGCCTCCAACTTCGTCTTTGCAAGGACTATGCCTGCAGGTACGGTATATCCGGGTGGCCCCATTGCCACCTTCCTCACAACCTAGTGGAGAAGATGTGTTTTATGGACAAAGGGTCTGACACCCAGGGCCACAACCCTTAGACTCAGGTCTGCCTGCTAAATAACGTGCGATCATTGGCAGGTGGCGTAGTAGACCAGCTGCCTAGGGAATAGAGCTCATGCTCTCCTAGTGACACCACTCCCAGCCTGGTCTCTCCGTGGAACATGCTGGGAGCAGGGAGCTGTCTGCATGGTCCGCCCTCCACCTGCTACTTGGTGCACATCGTGCACTCCCACTGTCTTTTGCCCCTCTTGGGC